TTTTTCAGGCTTGTTTTAATCGGGGAGCTCCACCAAACACTGTCCACCATGGATTACCATTATCACATTTGACACATCAGTGTCACAGTGGTTAGCATCATAGCAACCATGAGTTACCTCTGTACAGCAAATGCACAGACTAGTGGTATACCATTTAGAAGAATGTTTGACCAAAAACAATTAAAACCCGGCCTGGGGGCCACAGATTAAAATCACCCACCTTTGGTTTGATAGCATAATTTTCTATCTACCAGGCCCACAGAGCTCTTTCTATGTTGGTATTGTTGTAAGTGCCATCTAGTCCTCGACAACTCATAGTGACCCTGTCAATGAAAGACCTGAACACTTGTATAACTTTTATCATTTCTCCAAGTTCATGTTAGTTGAATGAATAATAAATGAGTAGTTGCTGTACTTTTTCTCCTGCAGTAAAAACGTCTCTTTTATATTCATTATTATATTATTATCTCTATAATAATAATTATAGTTAACTATGGGAGAAAGATGAGGGTTCTCCTCCAGTATTGATTTACAGCCTCTGAAAACCCACTAGAGGGTCGGCAGAGTCGGGTCCAACTCAGTGGAAATTATTTTTTTTAAATTATTTTAAAAAAAACCTCTGCTGAGTAGTTCTGGTGAGCTCTTGGCAAGAAGCTGCACTGCAATCCTGAAGGCTCATGGTTCGAATCCACCAGATGTTCTGCTGAAAAAGGAGGGGCAATCTCCTCCTGTACCAATTTGACAGATCAAATTTGACAGTACTCACACAAAAAATAATAAAATAAAATAAAAACCTATTACTGTCAAACAGAATTACCTAGTAGCTGATGCTTTAGCAGATTTGAGGCTGTAAATTATGTGGGAAAAGATTGCCCATCTTTCTCCCTTGCGTCTGCTGGTGAATTTGAATTGTCAGAAAGGCACTACCTTTCAATTAGCTGCTCAACTTCTCCTGAACTACACCACCAATGCTCCACAATTTATATAGAATGATACTAATTATATCCATTTTATAAGTGAGGAAATTGAAGGCACAGATTGGCTAAGTAAATTTTTTCAAGGACTAAAGCCTTCTAAGTCATCAAGGTGTAATTTGATCTCAGGTATTGTACCACAGTCCTTATTCTTTAACCACTGAGTGCAATACCACTTATATTCCAAATCTCTGTAAATGAAGAATTCCTGAAAAAGATGTGTGTGCTGTCAGCTAAATGTGTGTTCTAAAATATGTTGGTAATGAAGAACTTACTGTTCTTCAACAGATACTCTGAGTTTCCTTCCTTGCTTCCTGGCAAGTAGTTATTGACCTTCTTCTGGTCATATTCTAGCAATTACCATTTTGTTCTTATGTTGTAGACAGAGCGTGAATTAGGCCATATGCTGATTCCAGCATTCAACTTGAGCTCTTGCTTTTGACTATAGACTTTGCATAATAAGTTGGGTAAAATGTTCAGTAGAAAAAAATGTTCCTCAGATTTTCTACAGGTATCTATAGCCTGGTGGTTAAATAAAGTGAAAACTCTCAAGATAATTATAAGTGTTCTCTAGCTATCTTTGACTACTAAAAAATTCTGAGTCTAGTTTGAGAACAAATGTTTACAAAATTTTCTATAACATACCTTTCCAGAGAAGATACCAAAATATATTTTTAAGGTTTTAGAATTAAAAAGTAACTTATCACTGTATTCAGAAAACTGAAGCCCTTAGAGGGTTTAAATGATTTGTCCAAGGTAATATAAACAATGTGGCTCATTGATTTAATAGATACTTTAAGTACCTGCCTTATATCATATCAAAGTAAGCTTATTAGCATGGAGTACATACTGGTAAGCAAGACAGAAATGGACCTTGCTTTCATGAAGCTTAAAATATTAGAGGAGATAGAAAATTTATAAGTAATAGTTGTTGTTATTGTTAGGTACCATCAAGTTGAGTAGAACCCATAGCAACCCTATGAACAAAGATCTGAACCCTGTCCTGTCCTGTGCCATCCTCACATTTCTTGACACTTTAGAGCCAATTGCAGCAATCACCATGTCTATCCACCTGGTCGAGGATCTTCTTTTCCTTTGTGGACCCTCTACCTTTCTGAACATCATGTCCCTTTGCCCGAAGTATGGAAGTATGTGAGGCAAAGCCTCATCATCTTCGCCTCCAAAGAGCACTCTTGCTGCACCCTCTCCAGGACATATCTGTTTGTTCTTTTGGCCGTCCATGGATATTCAGTACTCTTCTCCAGCACCGTGAGTCAAAGGCATCATTTCTTCTTCTGTCATCCGTATTCATTGACCAGCTCACAGATGTATAACAAGTGATCGGAAAGACCATGGCCTGAATCAGACGCACCTTAATTCTCAAACTGACATCATTATTCCTCAATAACAAACTAAACTGTCAGTTTGTTGTGTTTGGGGAAAACATTGTTCTAATTGATACAGCATTTGTCTGTTAGTTTTATAGGTTGCTCTGATACTGAAAGCCATGTGACTGGTATGTCAAATACCACAAGGATTGTCATTAGTAGACAAGTTTTAGTAGAGCTCCCAGATTAAGATATACTAGGAAGCAGGATTTGCCATCAACTTCATAAATAACAGGCCTCTACAAACCCTATGAACAGTAAAAGTTAAGTAATTAGATCTGATAAATAAATTATGAAATCCAAAAAGCTCTCAGAAGGAAAGAAACTATTTGATAGAAAATCTGAGAGTGAAAAAAATAAAAGACTGCAACCACTATGGAAGGCTCTATAATGCTTTCTCAAAAAGGTGCGAATACCATTTGACCCAGCAGTTCCACTACTGGGAATATACCCCAAAGAAACCATAACCGCCACCGAAGCAGATATATGCACACTCAGGTTTTATTGCAGCTTTGTTCACAGTAGCGAAGAGTTGGAAACAAACCAAGTGCCCATCAACAAGTGAATGGATAGAGAAGCTCTGGTATATTCACACAATGGAAAACTATGCTGCATTGAAAAACAAAGAACTTATGAAATATTATACAAAATGGGTGGCCCTGTAGGACGTTATGCTGAGTGAAATATCTCAGTCACAAAAGGACAAATATTGCATAGGGCCACTGTTGTAAAATGAGACTGACATTGGGGTGGAGGGAAGACTGAGAAAGGGAATAAATAATGTATACTGCGTTGAAACAGATGAGGGAGAGAACTGTTTAAAAGGAATATATGCCTAGATATTATTGTCATGACAGGAGTCCAGAATGAAGGCTGCACAGTGGAGTGGACTTGGGGGGGAGGGGGAGGAATTGTATACTTTTCAAGGGGAAGAGTGAATTGCGGGGGAGGGAGTGGACAGGGAGAAAAGTGCCCTAAGTCTGTAAACTTTCATTGAAATTAATAAAAAAGAAAAGATTGCTGTTTCGATAAAATGGTCAATAATTTTTAGCCAGAATGCTACTTGGAGGCAAGGATGCTTCATCTCACATACCTTGGGCATATTAGGAGATGCTATTTCTTCGAAGAGACGTGCTTGGAAATGTGAAGAGTTGGCAAAAGAGGAAGATCCTTAACAAAAATTGCTGACACAGTAACTGCTGCAATGAGTTCAAGTATGTTGGAAATTATAAGACAGGGTTCAGATCTGTTGTTCATAAGGTCTCTATGGGTCATACTCTACTCAACAGCACCTTAGAACAAGAAGAAAATTACATTAGCATGATAAATTTCAAATGCATCATTTAAAAATACTAATGTAAAAATTTTTTTTCAAATCATCAAGCCTCCTTGTTTAGAACATATACAGATAAATTTTTCTTTTAGTAAAAGAGGACATTTGTTTAGTAGTTTCTATAAGTAATACTGTCCTCAAGGTAAATTTTTTTTTCTTTGTAGAGGTAAAAGAAAAATAGAACATAAAAAAAGATGCTGGGATCTGAACGTGGTGTTGTGGAAGAATGGTTATCAGAATTCAAGGTAAATTGGATTGGGTGTAAGAATGTGATTTTAATGTCAGTAACTTCAGCATTAGCAAATGTACACTTCAAGGAGAAAACTGTTCTATGAAAGAGGAGCAGCCTCTGACCTGCTCTTTTAATTATAATTATCTAGAACTCATTGACTTGTTTGAAAACTATAAAATTTATTTATTCTAGGCAAATGTATGTTTTTTTATAGTCGTAAAATGCAAGGATTAAAATATCCTCTACATTCTTTAAACCATATTACTAGTTTAAAGTGATTCATTTTGGTGAACTCTGATATAATTTGTGTTTTTTAATGATATATGAAGCTTGAGTAGTTAAAAGAATTATGTCAAATAACATTCTAACTTATTATAGTTTATTCTCATGATTATTTCCTGTGTTGCCTTCACATTTCTTTATTGGCACTATTTTCACTGCTTTCAGATAGAATGCATGTAAAACAATAGTCCCAAAACCACATTCACAAAGCTCACATTTTGTTTTCCTGTGGTGGTTTCTTTCAGGCATTACCTGACACTCAGATCACCAGTTATGCAGCAACTTTACACCGGAAAAAAACATTGGTACCAGCCCTCTACAAAGTTATTCAAGATTCAAATAATGAGGTAGGAGAATTCATAACAAAAATAATTTTAATATCATAAAATGAAATATTTGTGCCAAAATTCATACATGCAAGTTTTGTAGTTTTCTCTTTTTTAGAAAAAAGGAATCTTTACTATGGTATTCAAAAACTGTTTTTCTGCTCTTTTTCCTTCTGATAGTTGCTTTGGCTTTCCTCACCCCTTCCTTTTCATATTTTTTACTGTTTTGATATGTCTTTTTCTGTTGAAGGCAGTATGCTTTCATTCTTGATTTGAGTGAATGATTCTATAATTTCTCTTTTTCTTTATTCTATAATATGTGTATAATATTAGTATTTAATTTCTGGAAGGAAGCTTCCAGAAGCTACAATTTAACCATGTTCTCACAGAAATTTTTTTTATCTTAAATATTATCTTGATAGTATATTATCTATTTAAGATATTATCTTAAATATTACTTGATAGTATAGGACAATGTATAATCACGCTAATCAGTGAAAGTAAACTTATAACTCAGAATTGTGCTAATATTGCTTAGTAAATGCTAAAAAATGATCAGAAAAAGCACTATAATTCAATGGTCAACATTAATAAACTTATGAGTTTCCTATTATTCAGCGTTGGATAGAAAAAAAGGGGAAATGCAAAGATTAAATCTATTTATGTAAAATGCACACATTATCTTTCCATTCACACATTAGTACAACATAGAATTTTACTAGCACTGGTTTCTTGTGTGCTTTAACATGCAAATGGAAGGAACACACAGGAAAGTAGCTTCTTATCTTCCCAGATACAGCCTCCAAGAGTGCCTGTGCTGTGTACTGAAGTGAGTATGAAGAAGTTCAGGTAATCATCTCCTAACCAGCAGCTTAACTTAAAGTACATCATTATTCTTATCCTTTCACTAAAAGCGTGCTTGTTGACCTCTTTCTTTCCTATCTATTCAAAGATAGATTTGCATCTTTTCCATTTATAGCCACAGTCTCGGGCTTCATTTTCCTCTTTTCTCATGCTGTGTACTTTGGCAATGTTTTTAAAAGTTAGGTATGAGTAAATACATATATACCCTTCTTGGTCTGGAGTTTTCAAAATTCTCTATTTGAGTAATCAGTGTATAAATTCTATACTCCTTGGTTTGTATTGTCTTAACCTTTAAATATTGCTTATTAAAATCTGTCTGTTTTATGCTTTCTCTTTAGATTGTAAGCTCTTCATGGGCAGAGATTATATGTTCTATATTTGTTGTTTCCTCAGAATCTAGTATCTTATCATACACCTAATAAATACTTCATAAATGTTGATTAGAAGAGTATTGAACTACAAAAGGAAATGCCAGAATGCCGTCATTTTCATTAGTGCTTACATGTGCATAGAAAATATTTACTTCCTCCGACTTCCCCTAGCCCCCTTTTTATTATTATTATTATTGTTATTATTAATTTTAATGAAAATTTACAGAGACCTTGGATTTCCATTCATTCATTGTTTCACGTTTCTTCCTGCCTCCCCTTCCCCCTCACCCAGTACACTCTTCTTTTTGAAAAGTAAAAGAAAAATTCTTATTGTTTTACAGTCTCTCTCCCCAGGTCCACTCCACTATGCAGCCTTCGTTCTGGACTACTGTCATGACAATAATACCTAATCACATATCCCTTTTATAGCCTCCTTTTTTTAAATTTAGCCTACAACTTAAAAATAACTTTGTGATATCAAGTCACTAAAGAGGCATAAAGCTCATTATCTCTACTTCTCTCCTCTGGTGAATATTGATACTGCTTTGGTAACTGAGAATTACCTGGCAAGGATGTTGGCTTCTTGTCGTGTGTTGGCTATGAGCCTCTTTGAGGAATGAGAAGGGAGTCAAATGACAAGGAAGGATATAGTCTGATGCGAATGGATCATAGAAAACTTGAGTAGCCAGTTTTTATTTTATAAGTGTTTTCCTAGTGCTGTATCTTTGAAAAATTATGGAGTTAGAACTTTCCAAATAATTGTGAACAGTCATAAAGAAGAATGGAAATGATATATTCTATAAAGATACATTTTATTTTTTCCATATTATCCTAAACAAAAATATAAGTCATTTTAAACAGTATTACTTTTTTTGTTTCCCAGTAGATTTTCATTACATACTTAGAAAAAGCAATATATAGTAATTTGTATATTATATATTAAAGTCTGACTTAGGAAAAAGAGAGCAAAGGCACACAGACTATAAATACTGTAAAAATTAAGTTGGAAGTAGAAAAATTTACCTTGAAGAAGATCTGCTTCTAAACATGAATTTTTTAATTTTTTAAAATTTATTATTAATTTCAATGAAAATTTACAGACTTTGAATTTCCATTCATTCATTGTTGCATTTTTCACCCCTCCCAACCCTCCCCCCAACATGACTCTTTTAAATAGTCTTATGTGCCATCAAGTCACCTGCAACTCATAGCAGCCTTGTGTTCAATAGCTCTGAAGCCTGCCCTGTCCTGAGCCAGTGTCGCTGACTGCAAAACACCTAATCCCATTACTCCATATACAGTAGCAATCCATCTCATCTGGGGTCTTCCTCTCCTGAGCTGTCACTTCACCCTTCTAAACATGATGTCCTTCTCCAAGGACTGTTCCCTCTTGGCCACTGGCCCAAGGAATGTGAGATCCTTCAAAATCCTTGCCTCCAAAAAGAAAAGTTGGTTTCAGTCTCTCCAAGATAGACCTATTTGTTTTCTGGGCAGTCCATGGTATGTTCAGTAGTCTTTTCCAGCACCTAAATTCAAAGGCATCAATTCTTTTTCTGTCATCCTTAATCATTTTCTGATACTGAAAGTACTTCCCAGAATATATTTTAAATATACATATCAAAATTTATACAAAGAAGTCACTTCATTAAATTCTTTCTATGGTGGTGCTACATAACATTATCCAAACCAGTTTTCTGTTTCTTTTAAATTGCTTTCCAAAACCTCTTTAATTTTTTTTTTTTTTACTTTTAGTGGTACTATTTTTCTTTAAGGTTACATTTCATTGGTATGTTAACTATAATCAATGTCAAGGTCTTCTAATACCCTTGATATTCTTGAGGAATTTATTGGATTAGCAACTTTAATATCAATAAATTAAAATACCATAAATTCCCAAACACATCTGACTTGAGACCACTTAATTTTTAATTTACCTTCACCTCTTATTCTGTAATATTTTTATTTTGGGGAATTGGTTTGCACAGAGAAAGTAAATTTAGATACTTTTACAAGAATCAATATTTACTTAGTTACAGTAAACAATAAAGGCAGGTGGCTTTGCTTATATTAAATAGTGATGCTTTGTTGATAATAAGTATTCAGAACCGTAACTACCAGAGACTTTCTATTTGGTTGTATGGTCAAAACTGAAAAATACTTTTTCAGTGTGATTTCTAAACTAATATCAAAAGTATTTCCTAAAGAAGTATTCTCAGAGTATTTTGAATAGTTTCAACACCGTGATACTGAGTATATAGCTTTCCGAGATTATTATACTTTGGACACTGTGAAGTATAAAATTGCTCAGTTGTTTTATAATGTATTTCATTATACAAGTATGTGGGAGCTTGACATGAACATTCTAGGAGTATAACATGTTATGTGTTTCACTCCTTAACCAAGAAGTTAGCAATTCAAATCCACCAACTGTCCTTGAGAAAGACGAGCAATATCCTCATGTAAAAATTTATAGGCATGTAGGGCATTGCTGTGAGTCTGAACTCACTCTTACTGCAATTGAGTGGAAACCAACTCATAACTGACCTTCCAGGGTGTCTTCAGAGACTGTGAAGCTCACAGGAGGAGATTGCCCATCTTTTTCCCTTAAAGCAACTGGTAGATTCAAACCACCTATCTTTTGGGTTGGCAGTGCCACTTATCCACTGTTGTTGTTAAGTGCCATTAAGTCAAGTACAATTCATGATGACCCTGTGAACAATGAATGTGAACCCTTCCTTCTCTTATCTTCATCACATCATCTCTGACACACTTAAGCCTACTGTTAAAGTCACCATGTCAATCCATCTCATTGAGAGTCTTCCTCTCGATCACTGACCCTCTGTTTTTCCAAGTATGATGTCCTTTACCAAGGACTTTTCAGTACTCTAGAGAGGTTCTTGAGTGCATTGGGAAAGAGTTGGTCAGTGACTAAGGATGAACAAAGAATTGATGCGTTCAAGTTGTAGTGCTGGAGAGGAGTCATGAACATAATATGGACTACCAAGAAAACAAATAGGTCTGTCTTGGAGAGGGTGAAACCAAGTTTCTCCTTGGAAGCTAGGAATTTGAAGCTTTGTCTCACATATTTTGGGCAGATGGCCTCGGAGAAGGACATCATGCTTGCAGTGCAGACCTGGACTGCAAAGAAAACAAATAGGCCTATCTTGGAGAAGATGAAACCAAGTTTCTCCTTGGAGGCTAGGATTTTGAACTCTGGTCACATACTTTGGGCACATGCCAGGAGAGACCAGTCCTTGGAGAAGGACATCATGCCTGGAAAGGGGGAGGAACAGTGCAGGAGAGGAATACTCCAGGTGAAATGGATTGATACAGTGACTGGGGCAATGGAGGTTGGTGTGTCAGAATTAATGAGACTAGCCCAGGACAGGGCAGGGTTCAGAGCTGCTATACATAGGGTCACTATGTATCCCAGGTGACTTGACGGCAAATAAAAACAATAGTAGCATGTCATTCGACTCGATCTAGGCTCATTATGTGTACTGACATTGTATTTCTGACTCTTTAGGGACCCACCTTCATTCTACCTGATTTTATTTCCAGTTTTCATTCAGATCCCTTGAGGAAGTAGTCAGATTCTACTTTTGTTTCTTAGCCAGGAATTTCTTGATCCTCATGAAAAGACAATAAAGACAAAATAAGGCTTCACTCAAAATCATAAATATTCTTAAAGTCTCCTTTCTAGAAGTTCTGTTACTATTACATTCATTACACTGCCATGGCTAACTTGTATTACAGTTTAATTTTTTTTTCTGTAGATCAAAGTAATGCTTTATTTCTCCTTTCCTTCCTTCCTTGGACTCTAACAGTTGTTCTACTTCAGAGACATCCAATATCTTTATTATTTGATTGTTCCTTCATCTCTCCTCAGTATCTCATTTCTCTTTTCATAGTTAAATTTTCAATATAGCAGTTCTCTTGTAAACATTGTTTATACCTTCAGTTCATACTTTCTTTGTGAAATCAACTTCTGTTAATATTCAGCTATCAACTTTATAGCAGCTGAACATGCCTGTGACTACACAGTTTGATTGCTCCACTTTCCTACTAGGAGAGGACTACACATTTCACATAGATCTATTGTATGTTGTTGTTGTGTACCTTTGAGTTGGAACCAACCCTCCAGCTGGTTTTCAGAGGAAGTTAATTGCATAAGAAGAGATTGCTGGTCTTTCTCCTGTGGAGCAGCTGATGGATTCAAACCACATACCTTTCCATTAGCAGAGTAATTCCTTACCTCTAAGCTACCAGAGCACCAGACATCTCATATAGTCATACTTTAAAAAGTAACCTTACTTTAACTTCATTGATACATGTACTATCCCATTTGTTTATTTTATACCTTTTCTTTGCTCATACATACTCTTACTGGTGTTTTTTCCTTGATTTCAGCCTGCTTTCTAAATCAATAAAAGAATAGTTGGAATGTCTTGTTCCATTCAAACCTACCACTCTCCTGTCAACTCCAGTCTTTTCAAATACTTAATGAAGAACTCTATTGTATCAAAGACTATCTCTTAATTTTATTCAAGATTACAAATTGCTCTCTTCACTGTACCTCCATTCTAATATAAGAAGTAAAGTATAATGGAAGCATCATTTTGATATCAGAAGACCTGAATTTTAGTGTCTTTTTTCTACCACTAACATGTCTAAAACTGGTCAAATTTTCTAACTGGACAGTACTCTAGTTTTAAGGGGAGAGTTAGAATGCTTTTTTCAAGATTTTATATGTTGTGCTAGTGATTTTCCTTGAAGGACTTTGAGTTACATAGATTTGTATATAGATATGTAGATATATATGTATGTGAATGTTTTAACTTTAAAGAATCCCTGGTAGCAAATTACATGACTAACCAAAGGCTTGTGCCTCTGATGGTTCCTGTCTACTAGCTGCTCCATGGAAGAAAGATAAACAGTACTTAACCTGTTAAGATTCACAGCTGCAGAAACTCTGTTGAGGGTCATTGTAAGTCGGAACTGACTCAGCAGCACCGAGTTTGAGTTTTAGCCTCAAAGTCATTTTGTCAGGAGCTAAGCTTAGATTCTTCTTAATATTAACTGTACAGTCAACATACAGTTTATTGACTTGATGTTACAACATGAAAATGCTTGTTCTATAATCATCATTAGATTATTATAGACTTACCTAATTCCATTCAAGTATATTCCCTAATATGTATTCATTGTTGTAGTCCTTCTGAATAGAGTAATATTTGTTGTTATGTACCATCAAGTTGGAACCAACTCATAGCTGACACTTCGATGGGTTTTCAGAGGCAGTAAATTGCATGGGAGGAGACTGCAGCTGGTAGATTGAAACCACTTACCTCTAGGTTGGTAGCTCAGCTTATCACTAAGCCACCAGAGCTCCCTAGAGGTAGTAAGTGTCTTAAATTATTATGCTACTCAATTTTTAAAAGAATTTAGTATTAAATGTCAGTTTAAAACTTTGTTGTAGTTTCTTATTAGTATTTGATCAAGTTTTAAAAATTATATAGCCAGATTTGTACAGTCAACAATTATTCTTGCAAAACCAGTCTAACTTGACAGTACATTTGTTGGAAAAACTAGAGAAATTTATTTTAACTATGCTCATTTATCCAGGTTTCAAAGGCATAAAGTTCCTTACTGAGCTATATTGTGTAATATCTTGTGAAAAATTAGAAATCCAAGATGGTGGCGGAGGCAGAGACAATGTGGTGAGCTGCGGGAGCAGCAGACCACTTGGAGGAGGGCCACTATGGCCTTCTACAGACCTCTGTTTATTGATAATTGAACAGTTAAACAGTTGAAAAATTAGCTCACTAAACATTAAAAGCACTATTTCTGTATATTTCTTTGATTTAAAAAAAAATCTTTTCAGGAGGGGCAATCTCCTGTACCAGTCAGATCTGATTTGATGGTATACACACAAAATGTAATAAAATAAAATTTTGTAAAAAATCTTTTTCAGTAAATATAATTACAGAAACTTAAATCCCTCTTAAAACATAAAAATAATTCATTTGCTTTATTTGTAAATGCTTAAGATATTAGCTAACATTTTGGATACCCAGGGATTGTGTATTACAAAATCCTTTCATCTACTTAAAAACTGCTGTTGAGTCAGAACCAACTCATAGGTAACACTCCATTGAATTTCTGAGGCTATAAATAATGGGGAGAGATTGGTCAACTTTGTCCTGAGAAGCTGCTGGTAGATTTAAACCAGTAGAGGGGTACCACAGCCTTGGGTTAACATTAATTAGGAGTATATGGACTTTTTATGTAAATATAAGTAACTCTGGTGGGAGAGTATGTCATGTGTTGCCCTGCTAACATAAAGTTTATTGGTTTGACTCTACCAGTCATTCTCTGGGAGAAAGATGGACATTCTCCTCCTGTAAAGATTTACAACCTCAGAAACTCTACTATAGAGGTAAATGCATATTTTAAAATATAGTTGCATACAAAAAAAGTTAGTAATTAATATACTTTATTTTTGTTTTAGCTCCTGGAGCCCGTTTGCCACCAGCTCTTTGAGCTCTATCGTAGCTCTGAAGTTCGACTCAAGAGATTCACGCTGCAATTTTTGCCAGAATTGATATGGGTTTATTTACGGCTTACAGTTAGCCGAGACAGACAAAGTAATGGTTGTATTGAAGCACTTCTTTTAGGAATTTACAATCTGGTAAGTTTAAAATGCTAGGAATTGAAAGTAATAGGAATTTTTTTTTATTTTAAATTTTATTATTTTTAGTACATGTACCATCAGATCGGATCTGACTGGTCCAGGAGGAGATTGCCCCTCCTTCTGCAGCAGAGCATCTGGTGGATTTGAACTGCATACCTATGGGATTGCAGTGCAGCTTCTTGCCACTAGGACACCAGAGCTCCCTGAAAGTAGTAGGAAATTTTTATAAAGTGGTTTACAAAGTTGATGAAACTATTATAATAATAGCAATATAAGACATCGAATTAAGTACCAGATAGAAGGACAATTGACGCCTTTGAGCTTTGGTGCTGGAGAAGAGTATTGAATATACCGTGGACTGCTAGGAGAACAAACAAGTTCATTCAGACTGCTCCTTGGAAGCAAGGATTCTGAAGCTCTGTCTGACATACTTTAGATATGTTACAAGGCAAAATCAGTCCTTGGAGAGGGACGTCTTGCTTGGGAAGGTGGAGGGACAGTGCAGGAGTGGAAGACCCTCTATGAAATGGATTGATTCTGTCACTGGGGTAATGGGGACAGGTATGTCAGAGACAATAAGCTTGGCAAGAGATAGAGCAGGGTTTAGGGCTATTGTACATAGGGTCACTATTAGTCACAAGCGACTTGACAGCATATAACAGCAACAACAAGTAGAAAAATGTGGATGTGATACTTACTTGTAAAAAGTTTTTGCACTACTTAGAGATGTGTTTACAGATAACTAATAACCTTCTTCAAGGCACAGATTGTGAAACTTCATCTCATATTAGTTGGGCATATTGAAAGAAGGGGCCAGTCCTTCAGTAAGAGTATCATGCTGAGAAAGGTAGGGTTAGCAAAAGAATGACCCTCAAACAGAAAGGTTTACACAGTGACTGTGACTATGTCAGAGCTGATGAAGATGGCACAGGACAGGGAAGGGTTCAGGTCTGTTGTTCAGAGAGTTGGTAAGTTTTAGTCGACTTGGGGAGCACCTAACAACAACAAGTCTTCCATAGTTCCTAGTATAGGCACTTAGCAAACATTTGTGTAATTGATAACTGAATTTAGTGTTTTAAGTAATGTTTAGAATGATGTTATTTCATTATTTTATCTAAGGAAATTTGGTTATTAGTTGGTGAGTCAGTGTATGTAATTAATTAGTATTAATTTAGTAGTAGGACAAATAAAGCAAAATTATTTTAGAGACTGGAATGTTTGACAATTTACTGTGTGTATTTGTTGGTGTTATGGTTTAATATTTTTTTACATTACAAAAATACATAAAAATGTATATCAAAATGCAGCTTCCAGCTTCTGAACTTTTAATTCCCTTCATGTCACTGCTATCTCTTCTCTGTAGCTCTCAATTTTTTCTTAACTTTGCTGAATATTTTCTACATATACTCATTTCTCTTATCCTGAAATACTCCTAAGGAAGATTTAGGTTGGTCTCAGCTTTAAAAAATTTCAAATCACCCTTCTCTACATATAAACAGGAAAATTTACAGTTTAAATAGAAATTAAAATTTTATTGCCTGATTTAAATCAGATTTATTCTTGGCAGCATCTTCTTTCTCTAAGGCTTCAATGTGGTACTAACTAGAATTTAATTACAAAGAAGTTACGCAGTCTCTTTGTTCTCTGTGTGTAATTTTTAAAGCTGTTTTCACACCATAAGTAGAGATACAGCAGTTGCTCTCAAATATTTAGCACTCAGCTATGCCATGTTAAGTTCAGAAATGAAGGAAAGACTTTTGGTTTGTGTTTTGGTGATTATAATTGTTATTACTTCCATTTATGTTACAAAAACAACCGCTACATCTATTTTCTGACTACCAATTGTCTAGATTTAGTAAGGGCAATCGTTTTTCTGTGGACTTTATGCCATGACATATATTGATATGAATTGTAAAATAAATACATATTAAAACAAGGCAATGGGGAAAAGGAATAATCCAGCAGCAGTTCATTCTTACAATCGCCAGTGCCTATGGTAATTATTTACTGATCCTTAAAGATTGGGGACACCAAAGAATGGGAAGTGAAGTTCCATTTATATATCACTAAAATTTACCTGATTCTCACTAACCTGTACCTAAATAAATTTCTTTTTAATCATTTGAACTAATAATTATGTCACTTAGGTTATTCGTTTGTTGCTATCTTATTATAAGAATTTCTTTTAGTCAAGATTCCTTCTTTACAATGTATTTCATGTCTTAAAAATTAATCTCTTGGCTAAAACCTTTCATTTTTTTCTTGTTTAGCTCAGACTAATTCTTACTACACAAAGTTCTAATCACTTGTATTCTTTTTTGTGTAAATTTCTCATAAAAAATCCTGAGCAAATTAGAACTGAGACAAAGAAAGAGACTTGTACACCAGTGTTCATAGCAGTATTATTCACCATCACAAAAACATGGAAACAGCCCAAATGTCCAACCACAATAGATGGATTGAGAAACATGGTGGGATACTATGCAGGAGCAATAATTTTGAAAATCACTGCATTACGTCAGAGGGACTGGAGAGCATTATGCTAAGTACACTAACTCAGTCTCATAAGGACAGACACTGTAGAAGACCATTATTGTAGAAATTCAAAGATAACTAGTAAAATGCATATGAGGATCCAGGATGAAAGGGTAGAAACAGAGGGGTGAGGATGGGTGGGTTGGGGTGGTTATCATAGGGTTGCACAATTTGATGGGTAGGGTTGAGTGAAGGAAATGGGAAATATCCTGTGTGAGAAACAGTTTATATGAACTTTGTAAGCAAATAAGTATAAAATAAAAATTTT